CTTCCCCCGTCCCCAACCCCTCCCCGCCGCCACCGGCGTCGGTGGCGGCGGGCCCTCCTCCCTTCGGCGCGGTGTGGTGCTGGCGCGGGACAGCGTCCTCGCGCGGATGCGCGCAGCCATGCAGGGCGGCGCGGCGCGGATGCATCGGGGGCGGCCGGATGGCGGCTCTCTGGCGCGGAGGCGCGAGTGGCTGCAGATTCGCGGTCAGGCGGGGCGTGCCGGCGCAGGGCGGCCGTGGTGAGCTTCTCGGTCCAGATCTGGATCCGGGGGGCTCCTCCGGCCTGCTGCATGTGGGCAGCGCGTCCTGTCGGCGGCGGCTGGATCCCGGGGCGGCGACCCTGGAAGGTGGCGGCGGGTGAAGCTCGGGCTTCCCGCGGCGGCATGGCGTGGTGCAGTCCCTATCCAAGGCGGATCTGCATCGCCGATCTCGTCGTTTGGCCACGGATTGGTTCAGATCAGAGACGGTGATGAGCGTGCGGGATCCATCTCGGCGGCTCTCGCGGTTTGGTGAGGTGGGGTGGGAGCCCTCCCAGGCTCCAGTGGTGGCGCATTCAGGCAGTGGCTGGTGCGCCAGGGCTCCTACGGTGGCACTGCTGTTGCGGTTGGTTGCCGGATACTAGGCGGCTAGATCTAGGGCTTTGAAGGCGGCCGAGACAGAACACAGGCTGTCGGGTGGATTTCTTGGGACGGATCCGGGTGAAAACTTGGTCTTCGGTCATTGGCCGGAGCCGGTGATGGCGATGCCCTTATCATCGTTTCCTTCATGAAGGCATCATCGAGGTGAAGCTCCCAACCCCACCCAATACCTCCGGGGGAAACTCTAGATCAGTTGATCGGATGAGGGCGGCATTCATGTGTCGTTACCCCCTTGGGGGCGGCATTCTTGGAGATGCACTCGGACTCGAGGGACCAGCGGATGGCATCTACGGTGGAGCGGTGTTTCTTTCTACATATTCATGGCGGCGGTTCTCGACGGCATGGAGCAGTGGAGGCTTGGCGTCAGATGTGTGGCGAGGGACACGCGCAGGAGGTCGACATTGTCTGGCGTCGATGGCAGAGAGGCCTGACAAGGTCGATGCGTCAGTACATGCTTTGAGGATGGATCGAGGGAAGACGGAGGTGACAGCCCTTTACAGCGTGTGCGTGTGGTACTCACTGAGAGTGCGCCGGACCGGAGTGTTACCCAGTCCCGCCTATGTGGCTTGGATGGGGCATCCGGCGTTAGATGTTAGGCTTTTGTGCAATGTTTGTTTGGTATTTGGCCCGGACATTCGGCACCCCTTCATCAAGAGGATAGGAGTAGCGACAGGTGTCGTCTAGATGGTGGCCTCGGGCTTACTGTTGTATTACTTTGTAAGGTCTTTGTGAATAATAAATAATATGGCCGCATGCATCACCCAGATGCAAAGGCCGGGAGTGATTCCTCCTTTTCTAAAAAAAATAAAAAAAATGTACCACCATATACACTCCATATAAATTAGACATGTAGGAGTAGGGGTGTTACCTCCGCGCGAGGGCCCCGAACCAGGGTATATCACCGTGTGTTGTTGCACAATCTAGTCCCGGATCTCCATCGTAGCCTTGCTCCCACCTCTCTTAGCCATCCCATGGCATCTGTCGTGCAAATACCACGATAGTGATTATGACGAGACTTCTGCTCCTGTGGCCCATATGACCACTTCTTGTTGTGGCCTCTGTTCGCCACTGGTATGTGTCTCAGCTTGATTTTAAGAATGCCTTTCTTAATGGTGAATTGTATGAGGAGAATGCCTTTCTTAATGGTGAATTGTACGAGGAGATTTACATGCAGGCACCACCTAGGTATTTTGTTCCTAACGGCATGGTCAGCCGTCTTCATCGCTCTCTATGGCCTTAAGCAAGCCCCTCATGCCTGGTTTGAGCGTTTTGCCTCTATGGTGATTGCCACTGGTTTTTTAGCGAGTGCTCATGATGAGTTTCTTATGTTTGATCTTTGGCCCTCTTCGTTGCATTATTGGGATTGAGGTCTCTTCTACCTCTGATGGCTTTTTTTAGTTCCCAAGAAAAGTATATCAAGGATCTCCTTGCTCGTGTTGCTCTTACTGATGAGCGCACTGTTGAGACTCCCATGGAGCTCAATGTTCACCTCCGTGTTTTTGATGGTGACCCCTTGCCTGATCTATGCTTTTGATGGTGACCCCTTGCCTGATCTGACACATTATCGCCATCTTGTTTGGAGACTTGTCTATCTAGCTGTCACTCGTCGGATACCTCCTATCATGTCCATATTTTGAGTCAGTTTGTTTCTGCTACCACTTTGGTTCACTATAGTCACCTTCTCCGTGTTCTCTGATATCTCTCTGATATCTTCGTGGCACGATTTCTTACCGTCTGTTCTTTCCTCGCTCCGGTTCCTTAGAGGTTCAGGCCTATTCAAATGCTTACGTGGACTAGTGATCTCTCGGATCTCTGTTTAGTTTCTGCTTACTGTGTTTACCTTGGTGGTTCTCTAATTGCTTGGAAGATGAAGAAATAAATTGCAGTTTCCTGTTCGAGTGCAGAGGTTGTGTTGTGAGATATGGCTCTTTTGACGGCAGAGGTGACTAGGTTACGATGGTTACTTCGGGAGTTTGGTGTGTCTGTTACTACACCTACTACACTATTGTCAGACAATACATGCGCTATCAGTATTGCGTGCAACCCTATGAAGCATGAGCTCACCAAGCATATTGGTGTTGATGCTTCTTTTGTGCGCACTGGTGTGCAGGATGAGGTTATTGCTCTTCAGTATGTGCCTTTCGAGTTACAGTTTGCAGATTTCTTAACAAGTCCCAAACTAGATTGTGCACCAAACATTACGAGCATAACATAGTTGCTCGAGATGTCAAAGAAAACCTTTCTTAACAAAATGTCAAAGAAAACCAAAGCCAGCACACAGTACATTCAAAGAACTCTGGAGATATGGGTTTGCATACCATGTCACCCCCCAACAAACTCTTGGGACATGTATATAAGTTGCCATTTTTATAATGGGGCACATACAAGTAATATGAGCTGGACTATAGCATAAAACATTGAAGCACTCGCATTTTAACAAATATACATATATGAATTGAGCCGTAGATTGGTAGGGACTGTTGGCCATTGTGCACCAAACATTGTGATCATATTATAGTTGCTCTGGATGGTAAAGAAAATCTTTCTTCAATAAAATGTCAAAGATAACCAAAACCGGCACACGTTCATTGAAACCGATCGGCATAGGAAAGATAAAAATCACCAAGTTTGTTAAATCAACCAAGAACCGACAGTTACTAAACAACTTGCAGCAGCTTTCTGGCTGAGTTGACCCCACCTTACCGTTATTGAAGCAGTTAACTCCTCATGGTGGTTCAGTCATAAGATATACAATAACATACAATGGAAAACTAAATAATGAAGCAAGTAACCAACAGATTCTTGAAGTGCATGTCTTTGTGCAACGAAGCAACAGATGGCTCATGAATAAACATATATTTTATTGGATAATTTGAATGTCTAGATCAATTTTTGCCGTCTACCTATATGATGGTAAAACATAAGCACATGAATGAATTAGGGGTGGTGAATGGTAATAAGATTACCAAAAACAGTAGAAATAATCAATAAGGGCTACATAGCATCAGAAAATGATGGAGCAACAGAAGTACACAAACCTCGAAGTGCATGCAGTATCATCCTAGGATTGACAGAATCAGGAGAACTATTCCTCAATCTTTCAATCAGATTCGCACATTTCCTGAACAAATTTCTTCCTTTTGGGTCTTCGCTTAGACGAAATATCTTACAAACAAACTCAAGCTCTCGTACTAAGGCATCCCTATCCCAACCAGGAGCACATTGTTGAAACACATCCTTAACCCAACCGAATAATTCTGATGTCTTCTGGCAAGCCTGGCACCTAAAAAGCATTTCGGCATGACCGGTGCCGCTCTTAATTGATTGCCCTGTCCCAATCTGGCCAACACGAATCGCACAGTCGGTGTGCGTCCAATGGGAACAGAAATCGCACCCAACCCATCGGCATGTGTTGACCTCAAAATCAAACTTGTTGCAAATCACACACATGCAAAGGTTGCAAAACCCATTTCTGTTAGCACATACATTGCATCTGCACTCCTCAGCCGGGAGAGCACTCTGGCAAGCAATGTTCCGGCACCTCTTATACAAGAAGACCTCCACCAGGTGGCTTTGGGGAATGGTGACGCTGGGGTGCAAAAACGCCTGGATTCCAGTCTTGATTGCCACGAGGATCTCCAGTTGGACATGATGGGCCATTGAAAGCATAGTTGGTGTCAAATCACCTCTGCCCTGGACAAACTTCTGCAGATACAGAAACTCCTCAATATGATGAGAGCCCCCTGTCCCCTCCAGAATCGACCTGAGCTCATTTTTTATCTCCTCCAGGTGCTCCTCTGGCATTACCTTCATTTTCTCGACAACTAGGTCCACTCTCTCCCGCGCAATCTCCCTCAGTGACACCCTATCGATGCGGGAGCTTCCGCGAATAACCTGCAACTTGGGGATACCATTTCTGATGTCCTTTTCCATCTCCACCTTTTTCACAGCACCGCCACTACTAGCAGCAGCAGCATTGCTATGTTCCGGCTCTACAGGCCAGGTCTCCCTCGAACTTGCACTTTCGGTGGCAGAGTCATGGCCCTGGTCAGAATTGGACACAGGTTCCTGCATTTCAGGCGAGCCAACCTGTTCCGACGAGGCCAATGAGAGGGAAGTCTGGAGGCTCGGGGCCCGGGCACCATGGCGAGGCGGCAGCATCCCCTGCGGCGGAGGCTGTTGATGGAAATTCGCACCTGAAGAAGTCCCCATGACGCACAAACTGTAAGCTGCAACAACACAAAGTTCAAACACTTAATACTACATACCAAAATGGTCTAGGGTTGAAAACATAGCATCAGCATAGGACCTATTTGAGCCACTGTGCTCTGCCCCTTGAGCAGCCAAGGGCCGGATCCGAATTAAGCAACGACAAGGTTGATCACAGACCGAATCCAGTACTACAACGGTACCTTCCGCGCATCTCTCAGCGAAGAGACATGTGAATCACGAACCATTCGCCGATTCAGCTAACTTGGACCTAACTTCCCGCTGCGTACGGGGAGCTAGTCGAGACCTGTGAGGAGCTCGCGTAGAGCGCGAGACTGCGCAGGTCGAGTCCACAGCAAGAACCCCATCGATCGAACTAATCAGGACACCCAAACCTCGGTATGTGAGCCCATGGCCTTGCTACTGTATACGGGGACCAAACCCTAGCAGTTGGAACCGAATCTGAAGTCGAGCTGCTTACCTCGGCGCGGCGGAGCGACGGGATCGGCGGCGCGACAGCTCTATCTAATCGGAACCCGGAACGGCGGCGGGTTCGCACCCTTCTTCGTCGCCTCTAATAATTTTTGGTTTTGTGTGCGACAAATGGAGTCCAACCCAACGAAACCAAACGAAACGGAGACGACGACTCGAGCGAACGCACGAAGGGAACCGAGACCGGACGTCGCCGGTGGGGGGAACGGAGGGAGACCGGCTTGACCGGTGGGCGACGCGGGGTTGGAGGTGGGGTCCACCAGCAAACTGAAAGCGAACGGGCACCCGCTCGTCTGTTCAGAAACCCGCAAACTTGCAATGCATGTGATGGTTTAGAGCATCTCCAGCCGTTGGGCCTCCCAGGGCGCCGAAAAAGAGCCCCCTGAGGACGAGCCGGCGCTAGATTGACGCGTGGGGACGACTTAGCTCCCAGTCATCGGCCCACGGGTCGCCTCGGGTACGGCGATGTTGCGTACAAAATATATGCAAACTCGGCGACTTTTGCACGAACACGGCGAAACTTACTTGAAAATTGTAAAAAAACTTAAAACATGCATGAACTAACTTAAAAACGAACTAAAATGCCTAGTCGTTGCCGCCATCGTCGCCGCCATCGTCGTCTACATGTCGAGAAGCCTGTAGAAGCGGGTGTAGTCGTCGTCGTCGTCGTCGCGCCTCGCCCGCGACGTCCCTGCTGCACCCCTCGCTCGGGTCACCGACAGCGCATGACGGCCCGGCCTCGACCTCGTCATCGCAGTCGATGACGATAACGCCCTCCTCGGCGCGGCGACGATGGGCCTCGGCGCGGCTGCGGGCCTGGGTCTTCGGGTATGCCCGACGCTGGCGGCGCACCT